TCCGTAGGTCCAGACCTCGAGATAGCCGATTGCGAGCCTAATTTAATTCAACCCATAGGAAGGGACCCACCACTAAAATACAAGTGAAACTCAACCATACACCACAGACGAATTCAAGATTCAATCAAAGTACAAAGCAAGATCACCGTAACAAGCCACTGAAATTACCCAACATTTTACTCCCCTCAAAAATCAAACCTAAGTCACGCGGTAAAAAATAATGCCTTTTTTCACTAAGCCATCACCCCTGGTGGTGGATTCCTCAACTTTGAGAACTCCAATCAATATCCTTGAGTTTGTGCGTCTGTGTTTCAGATTCAAATGTGGGCCACCCAACTTAATGTGGTAAACCAAAATATCCTATGGTATACTTTTTCCAATGTATGTTTGGACAAAACGACAGAAAAGTACAAAAACCCTACAATAAACTTTTTTTCAAATATGACGCGGATGAAAACATCTAAAACTATGGTGGGATGTTCCCTGGTCCACATTAGCTGGAATGTTTCCATTTTAAGATTCATTAAATAGTGGCAATTATGTCTATTAACATAAAGTAGGACTTATGCATTAGTTAAAAAAAGGCTGCCATTTCAAGTTTTGGAATTTATGGGTCATTTTCTCAATGCTTACAAAAATGTAACTTAAATAAATATATAATAAATTTATATTTATTAAATTATAACTTTATATTAAAAATAATTGTTGTAAAATTAAAAATGATTCTAATTATTTAAGAAATTCAATATAATTAATATTATAAATAAGATAGATAAAAAATAAAAAATAATTTTAATATTTTATTTTTAAAAAGTGAAAAAATTATAATAAAATTAATTGGTAAAGTACTTTTAGTACGTATAATTCAATTAGGTTTTATTTATGGATAATTTAGAAGAAGTAGAAGTCTTTTAAATATAAAATTTTAGAAGTAATTTTGATAAAAGAATATATATTGATGTGACATTTTAATAAATAAATAAATAAAGAGATGTTCTACATAAGATAGAGAAAAATTGAGAATAAATATTATTTTTAATAATATATATAGATGATATGATGATTGAATCCATTTTTAATCTCGTGAAATTATAATTATTAATCTCATGGTTGGCATACTATTCATTTAGGCCTTGTTTGTTATTCCTTAAAAAGTTAAAATGTCACTAATTTATTAATCACATCATCTTATTTAAATCGTATTACCTCTCTACCACATCACTTCAAACTCAACTCATATTTCTAAAAACTCAAAAAATATACTTATTTAAAAGATCCCAAACAACTTTTTAGTTTCTCAATTTTAATCCTACTGTTTTATTAAAATGGTGAATTACACTAATAGTCCCTATAGTTTTAGTCTTATGTCACTTTGGTCCCTAACTTTTCAATTGTGACACATTTGACCTTGAATTTTGAATCTTGTTCCAAATAAGGACAAGTGAAAATATCATTAGATTTTTCAAGGGTAAAATCGTCAATTTTATAAAATATAAATTAATTTGACAAAAATAAATGTCAAACAAATATTTTTGAAATTTTAAAAATTATTTCTACCAACTAAAAATAAAATTATGTAAAATTGATAAATCTTTTAGACATTTATTTTTTTTTTACCAAATTAATTTTTATTATGTGTTTGGATGATGATCATATAAAATTAATTTTTAAAAATTAATCATGTAATTTTTATTAATTTTTATCAATTTTACATAATTTTATCATTGGTGAATAAAAATAATTTTTAAAATATTAAAAATATTTTTTTGATATTTATTTTTGTCAAATTAGTTTATATTTTATTAAATTGACGATTTTGGCCTTAAAATTAAACAATGGTATCTTCAATTGTCCTTATTTGGAACAAGACTCAAAATTCATGATCAAATGTATCACAATTAAAAAGTCATGACCAAAGTGACACAAATCTCAAACTATACGAACTGTTAGTGTAATTTGCCCTTATTAAAAATACATAAGCCCGGCCTTAAAAAGCTCATCAGGTCAAACCATGGGCCGACCCATGGATCCTACTCTTTTGCCAAAGCCAAGGCCAACCCAACTCGTATATTTTAAGGATGGGCCGGCCTTTTGATGAGACTCTACCTTTGCCATTCCTATCCTTGGACCCCCAATATTTTTCAAGGTCACAACAATCCATTTCTTGTACTAATAAATGCTTCTCTATTTTTTTATTTTTTTATTTTTTAGTTTTTTTTGGGAATACTATACTTGAATGCCAAATTAATTGCATAAAATATATTTCAAAAATACTACATATCCAAAATAAATTATTAAATATTCTATCAAATGCTCATGAGACCCATGTATGTGGTATAGGCCCCACACCCACGTAACTATTATGTAAAATATTTGATAATTTATTTGAGATCTCTAACATTGATCAATATATTTTTCTCCTCGTTAAAGTCCATTTCTTAACATTCTCAGCAAACAATTATTTTTTGAGAAATAAGAATTAGTGTATGCTTGGGTAAAAAAATTTAAATTAATGGTAAATTTTATAAACTTTAATTATTAAAGTCATAAACTATTCATGAATATGTAACTATTTTGAAAAGGTATAATTGATTTGTAATTTCTCCATTTTTTGGGGGGAAATATCACGTCAGTGATATTTGCAAAAATTAATTACCAAACAATGATAACTTATATAAACATTGATAATTAAAATCATAAATCTTTTCATTCATTGGTAATTATTTTTTCAAATGACCTCTAATTTGTAATTTCACTTTTTTTTTTGGTCTGTGCACAATAAATGCTAAAGTGGCAGATCATTTACATGAAAATAGATTTTTCTTCAACTGGCTTCGTTTGGGATCAGATTTTTTAAATTATTTTTTGATTTTTTAGTTAAAATATAATGTAAAAAAATTAATATGTTTGGGATAATTTTTTAATTTTTTACGAAAAAATATGCAAAAAGTATAGAGAAAATGAAAATTTTAATTTTTTGGTATAAGTTATTGACTTTTTAATTTTTTTAATAATTTTTTAACTTTTTAACTAAAAAAACTAATTGCCAAACGAGGCCCCGTATTAGGTGATGCATGCAGACCCACGACACAATCCCTTCCTCTCAAATTATGTTTGGTTTATAATTTTTAGGAGTGAGTATGATTCAGATTAGTCTGTATTGAGGTAAAATCAGTACTAATCCGTTATCTATGATTCTTAAAAAATTAGAATCAATCCAATCAGTTTAAATTGTAGAACCAATCCATTTAAACACGAATTTGATTGATTTAAGACTACAAATTTACATAATTAAATAATAAAAAAATATAAAACATTTTAATTTCATAAAAACATAAACATAATTGAACCCAAATCATTTTTTTTCCCACCGATCCACACTATTATTTCCACCAAAAGTTACAGCACTTAACTCCAAAAATAAAATAATTGAAACCCACAAAACAACCCACACTAACCAAAACAAATTGCCAAGTGCTGCAATCCCAAAACAACTTCACCCAATGCTGCACTCTTCATTTCCGAGACAACACCAACACACCTCCCATGGCTGAAAGCTCCATAGCCAGAAAACTCCCTTTACCGAAAACTATGGGGATTCAAGTTCGGAAAACAACTTGATACATGGCCGAGCATCATAGTTCGGAAAAAAAAACCTCAGCAAAACTAAAAATCTAAAAGAGAAAATGTAAGAAATCTATGGGGATTCAAGTTCATTAGAGGAAGAGCAAGAAACACAGATTATTGTATAAATATAGATTATTTGTATATGGCTCAAATGGGTTTCAATCCGAAACAGTAGTGTTCAATTCAGAACCGATCTGTGGCCTACAAAATTTTAAATTTCCAATCTGGAACCAAATCAGGGATTGAAAAAATCAATCCAAACCTACCGATTTAAAATGGACCGGATCGGATTACAAATTATACGAATTTCTTGTTAGCCCTAATAATTTTAGGCAAAAATTTTTTTAAAGAAAGAATAAAAAACAAAATTAAAGAAATTAATTTTATTCTTTTATTTTTATTTTTAGATTATGCTTAAATCTTCAATTTGAGACCAAAAATTTGTGAAGAGAAATAAACAAATAAAAAAATTCTTCCGCAAATTCAAGATTCAAAAGTAAATTTAATAAATCTATAATTTAAACATGGTATCAAAGTCGCAGACGCTACAGATGTGTGCAAAATAGTTGAAATTTCTTAAATAAGTAATTTCTTGGTAACAAAGTCAAGATTCAAACCTTGTTTGTGGTAGGCTAAATCATAAAAAAGCATTTTTTTAAAAAAACAAATTTGTGAAAAAGACAATTTTACGTTATTTTCAAATAGGAAAATATTTGGTAGCTCAAATATTCAAGAGTGTCCCACAATACTATAAGAATAACACAGTAATTTGTCAAACGGAAATTTTTTTTCAAAAAAAAGAGAAAAGACAATAATTGTCATCCCCACCCTCAATAAAGAAGGCATCATGACCTATAAACCCTCGAACTATTTTTACTCACCATGGTTGCCTCAACATAAATGTGTAGGAAATGTGTGGGATCCATCTCTATATTTGGATGAGTTTTTTTGTTGTCGCCATTGCCTCCATACCACACATTTGTTGTGAGCATTACCTTAATAATATCACACAACTGTGTGTGATTTGATCAGTGAGTGAGACGATTCAATACAAATTTTAGTGTTACAAGTGCAATTTAAACTTTTTTATCTACTGCCAAAACAAAAAATAAATAAAAAACATATAATAATCTCAAATACTATTGGAGTAAAAACCCAACACTCATATCAAAAGCAAGATAATTCAAGAAAATCATGAAATAAAAACAGGTTAATTTTACAACTTATTGCTATTCAATAGTAACAATAATATTATAGTGTTTTAGTCTTATTATATATTTTTTTTAAAATTAAATTACATGCATCCCTAATCCATAAATAGCTATTATCAATGGAAGCGACAAACTTCGAGTTGTTAAGCCGAAAAGCATCTCTGCACTGAGTAAGAACCAAACATTTTGTATTGACAGTAAGGTAGCAGACCACGTTCTTCATCACCAACACTCACTGTCCTATTCAACCACCAAAAAGCCCTAACAGTAAGACCCACAATTTAATCTCACCTGAGCCAGAGGAATATGTGATTTTCCTGGAAAATACCAAGCAAGAAAACACCAGAGAAAGGCATAGAAAATCCCATGGTACAAAAAGTGCATAATACAAGATTCGAAATAATATTTAAAACACTATTTTCTATTTTTATATAGAGGAATCATATATAATACAGCTAATCAGACCCTCTATCACTTGCCCTGATATTAACAAAATTTTGGGGATTCTTCAAGAAATTTAAATTTAAAGTTTTAGAGATTGTTCCCAAACAACGGTCGACGCGCTTTGCTTTTTTTAAAAATGGACACAAAACAAGAGAGACAAAGCCCAGGTGACGATGTTCAAACCTCAACAACTAGGGACACAGAAAGTAGGCAACCCATGTATCCCATTTTTCTATGATTAGCTAAAATAATACCAAGAGTGGCTTCCAGTTCAATTCATGATGTTTTGGGCCCACATCGACAACGATTCCACCCTGTCTATCATTGGTTTACCGAAGTCTGAGATCAAGAGAGGTATACCTGACACTGTATTACAGTTTTACCGATCTTGAATCCCGGAACCACCGTGAACGCCACTAGTGGGTCAGTTTCCATTGTGCCACCAGTTGACAAGAACGATTCTTCGCTCACACTTTCCATGTACACTTCTGAAAATCGACACTTCTTGCCCACTTGAAAGACCGATGCTTCAGGCTCAAATGAAAAGGCCAAACAGTGCAAGAGCCAAACCCGCTTTGCCATTTCAGTGAATATGGCAAAGAAAGTAGTCTCCGGGTGTTCACCGGATTTCACTAGATTTCTCTGATTTAAGTTGCCAAAGAGAGATGATTCCATCTTGGGATGCACAAGTCGGAGGTACTTGCCGGAGCAAAATTTTGCAAATGTTGATTTGGGCTTTCGGACAAGGTACTCCCTTGTTTTCATGGATTTCAGTTTTGTGAATCTGTCGAAGAAGAGGCGTTGCCACTTCTGCTGCTCAGACAAAGACTCGTTCAGGAGAGAGAAGTAGGGGTAATTGAAACCATCAAACATTTCACGGCAAACAAAGGACTCGAATGCATAACATTTGTGGTTTGCGTTGCAGTAACGAACACCTGGTTCAATTGTGTTGGCTGCTGCATCTAAATCCCACCCGGCCAGTTCCATCTCATTGATCATCAACCTGACAAAATTCCGAATAGATTTGGTTGTCTGCTGAAGAACGACAATGAAATGGTTGGGGCTCAAGCCTGATAGGTGAAGATTGTCGGGAACGGGTATCAACCCACTTGAGTTCAATCTCTTTTCAAGCAACTTATTCTCTCTGTTGGCTTCCTCCAACTTCTCCTGAAGAAAAGTGATTTCAGAGTTCTTGAGCTTAAGCTGAGAGTCCAGCTTCTTGCCCATAATTTCATAGGTCTTCAGAAGACTCTTCTGCTCCTGGAGATCAGCCAACAGATGGGTTTTTTCAGGAGAAGACTCATCAAGCTGTTTCTTCAGATAGCACTGCTTCAATTCAGATAAATTCTTCAATTCCGAGACCACCACCTGATCAGCAGCTTGAATCCCACCAGCATCATAAGGAGACTGAGCAAACTGCAACTGGGCATACGCTGCTTTAACAGTTGAAATGCTGGCAAACAATTTGGCCAGAAAAGCTTCGACGGCCGCTCTGTGCCGGAGCTTTTCATCATCGCAATCAAAGGACTCGGACCAATCGCTCATGTGACGATCATGCTTGACCTTTTCAGAGCGATGATCATGCTTGACCTTTTCATGAGACTTAGTCTTCTGGATCCCATCAACAGAGGCAACACCAGTCACAGCTCGTACGTGCAAAACCTTAGCAAACGTGCGTGCCAATCTGCTCTTACTCGGAGTCACGGACTTGCGGTCAACCGAATCCATCTGAAGCAAAAGACCCAAAAAAATGATGATGGTGATGATAGGAGGAGATTGATCAATAGTTTCTGAGTGATTTCAAATAACAAAACAAATCTAAACAATAGCAGGAATATTTTGGTGATGATGAGGATGAAGACAATAATGAGTGTGTTCCAGCAAAAGAAAAAAAGCAGAGCACGCTTTAACTCTTAGATCGAGGACATGAAGGGAATATGGAATTTCTTTTTCTTTTGCCTTCGAGAGTTTCCAATTTGCTTTCCTTTCAAAGTGCAAAAAAGTGGATTTTAAACTAAAATCAAAGCATGAATAGAAGGATAATAAGAAGAAGATGAAGAAAAAGAAGAGGGCGGAAAATATTTGATCAAGGAAATGCTCAAAAGAGATGTATAAAGTTCAATATTCTGAACATTAACCACTGTATTAAATAGAACTTGCCTTCGCAATGATGCATGGATGCATAAATGAGTATTATGGGCTGTGGGAATTGAGTGGAGAAATGTGTAACTGGAGGGATTAACTTATGAAAGTATGCCCATGTACCAAAAAAATAAAATTATGAAAGTATACCCACTATATCTCCCTAAATATTCAACTACACCTACCTCACAAGTTTGACTAAAAAATAATAAAAGTCACCTAAGAAATCCAAATAACACAACAATGACTTAGATGGTGTTTGGGAAGTGAGTTTTTATGTAGATTTTATTAGATATAGGTTTTTATGAGATAAAAAATTTTTGGTGTTTGGGAAGATAGTTGGGTTTTTATGTGGTTGGATGTGATGTTTGTGAGAGAAAAAGTGAAATGATTATGGGGTTGGATGTGATATTTTGTTTGGATGTGTTTTTTTTGATTTTGCAAAACTTTTGTCTTTTAGTGAAAAAAATGAGAAAAAAATTTGGCAACTTGCTTCCCAAACACCACCTTAGTGCTCGTTTGGTTATCATCTTTGGCTAAAAAATCACAAAAGGACAAAAAAAATCTTGCCATTTCAAAGTCAAAAGGCCAAAAAATCCAAACAAGAAAACCAAACAATCAAAAAAGTTTATTACTAAAATAGTTAAAAAAAAAAAAAAATCAAAAAGCCAACAAAAAAAGTCATTGCCAAATGACCCCTAAATATGAATACAAATTTTGGATACCAATATATTGGTTTAATGAGTATTCACATTGATGACAAATAAGATCATATATAGAAAATTGAGTATCCAAATTTTTTCACCAAAATATTATGCATAAATTTATTAGAGCTCATACTCCAATTCCCTTCTCATCCATGTAAATTATCTATATTTTTCACCCTTCTCACCCTGTGCAACTAAATCACTATATAATTTACCTAAATTTAAATGTGCTGGTATTAGTGCAAACGTGATTGAGTTGGCAGAACAAAGCAAGTGATTGTTGGTAGCCCAAAATGAAAGAAAAAGAAAAAGGAAGTAAAAAGAAAAATATTAATTAAACAAATGTCCAACTGATCACCGCATCTGTATTGTAAATATGCAGTTACGAATAATCCAGCCAAAATAATATGAATTAGACCTAACATGAATCCAAATAGAAAAACTTCAATCATTTCGACATTTTTGTGGTGCTGGTGTTAGTGCAAGTGAAATTGAGTTAGAATGGTGTTATATAGCATTACTTTATTTTAAATCCACAATGCGAGCAAGTGACTAGTGTACGTGGTAAAAGCATTGGACCTTTAGGTCAAGCCGGTCTCAGTACCCAGGTCCAATCCCATTCCCCATCCCCAATGCCAAAAGAACAAAAACAAACCAACAAAATGCAGGCATCAATGCATCACAAAGCAGCACTTTTCAAAACACAAATAGAAGAATCATTCCCAAAAATAATTTTGTAAAGAAAATCATAAAAAAATGATACGACAATGATATTTTATAAATTCAATTAGAATGGATGATGTTTTAATTTAAAATAAAATGTTAAACCACATCATTTCATATAGAAATTGTGTACAAAAAAATTATTTTGCTTAGAATTAAACTGTTACGATTGAAGGTCTTATACATTTGAGTAAATTACAGTGACCTCTCTCTTCAGAATTTGAGATAATACAACAAATCCCATATTTTTTACATAACTACACCAATTTTTTTTTAGTAAGGCTAAATAAACTGAAACGTGTGACAACAAATAAAAATTTGATAAAATATATATTTCAGTAAGAAATAGATGACAACATAATTTTTCGATTCATACTACTAAAGAGCTATTAATAAGACAGTGTTATAAAAATTAAAAAATCTTAAACGAGTCCAATGTACTTAAAATCAAAATTGTAAACTTACTATATTTTTTTCAAATCTCAATAAATCTATGTAATTTACCCTATATATTTATTTAGTAACAAAAGTGAAGCCCAGACAATTTGCGCAATTTTGGACAAGACAATCCAATTTAATGCCTTGAAAATCAAGAGGATGGGAGACAAAAATATATGCACCAAAAGAGTCAACTTGATTTATTAGTCTGTAATAAAATAGGAGAGGGTTTGGTTGTACTTTACACACTTGTTACGATATGTAAAGGGATGATACCGCACAAATATAGCTGGACAGGGTCAAACCGCAGGAGCCGCTTTAGCGGTTTCACACATACCAATGGTTTCAATTGTGTCCACACCCAAAAGTAAGAAAAATTAGTGTGGATTATTTTGGATATGAATTATAAGTTGATTTTTTTACTTATTACGAAAGACGTGTAAAAAAATGTAAAAGTGATATGATAAAAATAAGTCAATAAGTAACTTATTTATGATGTTGCCATCTATATATGTTGTTCTAAATTAATTTCTACTTTGGTACTATATGTAATTTTTGAGAGCTAATAGGATAAGTGTCCAACATTAATAGTGCGAATTATTGCATTAAAATCATCAAATAACTTCTTCAAAAGTTAATTTCCAAAAAAATTGACAAATAAAACATATATGTAAGACAAAAAAGTGCGTTGGCTAAAAAATCACAAATTTTTTTTTTTTAGTGATTTTTTTTTAAAATTTATATCAAAATATTTTTACTTTTCCAAGCCATTTAGTGTTGAATATATAAAAACTATATTAAAAAAAACCCCCCCCCCCAAAAAAAAAAAAAATTCTTCTTGAATTATTTGTCTTTAATAATTTGTTTTTTATTTTATAATTTTTCTGATTAGTCAAATTAAAACCTAAAAGTGTAAAGTATTTTAAAAAATTAAAAATTCAATAAAAATGTTATTTTTTTTTATAAAAAGAAAACTCAATTAAAAAAAAAACTCAATTAAAAGAATGAAAGAATTGCATTTCAGCATAAATTTTCAAAAAAAAATTTACAAATTAGGGACAAACTGTATCAATTTTATACTTATAAACTTGATCATCAATTTATAAATATTTTGTCAAAATGCCATTGATTTACAATTTCTCATAAAAGAATTATTAAAATGTCAATTCCAAACTTGGCTGTGGATTTCACAGCTTTATCTCTAATTTCGTTTGTCAAGGGTTGTTTTGCGAGAAGACACTCAAATACCAACTCCACCCGACCTGCAAAAAAACTGATGTAACATTTAAGGTTACCTCTTCACTGTCAATTTTGACATGAAAATCCTAGATGTCTTTTTTTAACATCACTCCTTTATGTTAATTTTGACATGAAAACCATTGATCATATTTTAAAAAAAAAAAAATACGTTAAAAATTGATTTATTGATTTTTATTGAAAAGATATATTAAAAAAATAGAGAAGTGATATGTCTCCAAAAAAAAAGTAAAAAATTAACTTTTAATCAACTCTCTAAAATAATTAAGAGCTCTTTTCAAAAGATGGCTAAAAGCCAAATTTAGCTTTTAACTTATTTAAATCACATCATTTATCTTCTTCTTTTTTTACACATTTTTTAAAAAAAAATAATAATAATAAAAAGCAAAAACAACTAATTTTTAACTAACTTCTCAAACAACATCCAAATGGTCCTCTAGTGATGACCTCAAAAGGGTTTAAATTTTAAAAATAATATAATAATAAATTTAACATATCAAATAAAAAATTTACACGTTAAATTGACCTATGCTAATATTAAGATTGCTCGCGGTTCGATTTTGAATGGTTCGGTTTGCGGTTTAGACCCACCTACATATATGCAATTTGGAAAAAATTAAATCCGCAACCGTCCGCAGTGTGGGTTGCAGTTTGTGCAGATAGCGTTTACGGATGTGCAAGCGGTTGCAAGCGGTTTGCGGATTGAATTTTTTTAAAAAAATATTATTTTTGGGCCTTTTTTTTCCTGTTTCGTAAATATTTATTTTGGGTCCTTTTCCCCCATTTTCTAAAATGCTCAACATTAATAATTAATGAATTAAAACTTGTAAAATTAAAAATACAACAAAATCAATTCCTAATACAAGCAAATCATTCAAAATTCTAAATTTCTAAATAAAATCATAAACTAACACAAACACGTCTTTCAAAATCCTAAATTAAATCATCAAAATCATTCACTACCCAACAATACAATTAAAGTAAAATCATTTAAAATCCTAAACTTACCTAAAAATAATTATTCGTTAACATTTTCATTCATCCAAAATGTTAGGCAAAAATATCTAAGATAGAATAAATGAAATTAACAGTCCAAGTTAAAAAAAATTAAAAATTAAAAAGTCTAAGTATGGGCAGATTCTTACGAGTGCGGGTAAAACCTACAATAATACCATATTTCAAACTGTGTCGACCCGCATTATCTCTGCGAAACTACTTATTTATATACGGATCGATTCAAATTAGATAAATTGTACACTTCGAATAACCTCACGTCCAGCCTAATAACACTTATACGTACACGTGGCATAAACATAAAAATAAAACCCATTTTACCTTCAATTAGCATAAGTTAAAATGAAATTTTTTTGGTTAAAACAGTCATAAAATAACAAAATAAAATTTTTAATTTAATAAGATATCACATCAAAACTATAATTAATTTATTTTTTTTATAAAAATCAAAAAAATTTATCTCAAATTAAGTTTTTTTAATCCCAAACTAAAATAGTCAAAAAATTAAAAAACTAAAAACCTACCTCTCAAACAAACCCTCAATTGATTGTTTTGCTTAGAGCATCTCCAACGGTGAACTTCTTTTTTCACCAAATTTGAGTAAAAAAATGACTCATTTTTGAATTTGATATCAGTTGCTCCAACGGTGCATCAAAATTCCGTGGGTCAACCAGCTGGTCGACCGGTAAAGCCAATTTTTTTTTTTATACCTTTTTAACTGTTTGAACCTATCTATTTGAACCAGTTCACAGGCCAATATTTGCATGCACTGGTCGACCGGTTGGTCAACCGCGACCAAGTGGTCATCCAGGTGGTCGACCACCATGTGTAAAATTCTCAAGCTTTTCTGGTTTAACAGTCAGGAACAGTAATTTAGTAAAATCAGTACCTTGTTCTCAGTTTGATGATTTTATTGTTGAATTTTCATTTTGATATCAATTTGGTGAAAACGGTTGAAGCACCAAAAAATACTTTTTTCACCAAAATTTAAATCTGATGCCAAGCTTAATTCACCGTTAGAGATGGGCTTAACCTCGTGATGTATGGTTTGTCATTATTATTATTTATAAAAAATAAAAAAAAAATTATCTTGTGTTTTACATCTTCGTGCACGTAACCCATGCACTAAACAAAAAAAAAAAATCACGTGGGTCCCATGATTACACACACATTTATCACCGATTATGATTTTCCGAAAAAAAATTGACAGCTTTAAATTAAAAATTTTAATTGGTGTGTATATCTTATGATGAATTGACAGCTTTAAATTAAAAATTTTAATTGGTGTGTATATCTTATGATGTGATGTTTTAATTTTAATTTTTTTTTTATATATTTTCACATCATCAATATTCTTTTAAACTCACAAATTAAAAGAATGTACTATTTTTAATGATTTTCCATCACTAGCCGTTCATACCCGTTGGATAATATCGAAATTCGAGCAAAGTCTCTGACATAATCCAACGGACATAAAACATTCTTCAGAAGTCCATATGATTCCGAAGTGGAGTCCACACAATATCACGGAATCAATAAAGAAGATCGCATGATGTAGGTCATGTGACCAATCGTACGTGGCAAGATCCCTATGGTGGGGACTTTCACAATCCACACCGAATCCCACCCTCTCTCTCTGTTTTACTCTGACGACATCATCGATAATCGGACGGTCACAAGAGAGCGAGCGAGAAAAACGCTAAACAAAAATCAAAAGTTTGTTTCGCAAAACGCGATAAATCCACGTACCTCGAAAATACCCCGCGAAATTGCAACTCAGCTTTTGGTCATCATGGCGTGAATCTCAAGAAAATAGTGCAAAAATGAAACTACCTCTAATGGCGACCCCTCTGCGAACTCTGCGACCACAACAAGCAACAAGCTTCATATATACATACATACATACAATACACTTGAAAGACACATCTTAGAGTTGAATGAACAAATTTAAAATACTAGTAAAAAGCAATATCTTGTGCTCTGTTTGGAAAAACGAAGAAACGAACATTGAAGCCAAAAACAAAAAAGAGAAAAACCTGTAAAACAGAGCACAGACCACAGGTTGGAGCTTTAAAATCTTGATTTTCGAGCAAAATCTCCAAAAACAAAGTATAAAATCAAATGCTAATAAAGAACTGGTTTTGCTTTTTGTGAAGAAGATAATCCGAAAACGGAAATCGAATTTTTAATTAATGAAAAAATATGTGATTTTGATCAAGCTTGCATAAATGTGCTTGACATATCTTAACTTACCTTTTGGATCACGGTGACACTGAAAGCATTCGTTTTTGACGTGGCCAAGCTCGATTGAGCTCTTCCATGGCGGTGTATAGACCGAAACAGAGATGGAATGAGCTTGAAATTGGTATACTTGAAGCAGAGATTGATAAGGCTGAGCTGTTGACGAAGGACAAAGAGATTAAAGTTCAGACAGAGAAAAATAGGGGAGAGAGAGAGAGACCAAAACAATTGGGAAAAAAAGAGAAGAAAAAAATAGAACCAGAAGCATTGGGAATTAAAAACGTACAGTCAATTTCTTATTTTTGCATTTCCTATTTGACCCCTAAGAGTGAGACATTTTACGGCTTAAGATTTGCGGGCATCATGGACAGTTCAAAGTCGGTAGGGGTCGTTTAGTCATTCAGGAGAGGACTGGTTCAGAAGTACGTGTGTTGGAGGAATGGACGGTCCACAATTCTCTGAGTAAAGGGTTTACTTGTGTGTACTAGCTCACACCAGGGATACAAGATTGTGTAATGTATTTGATTGACAAGTGGTGAATAACACGGTTTGAAGGACACCTGTACACTTTTGGCATGTTTGATTGGGTGGATTAGAGCATGGGATTAGGATTATTAATCCGTGGGCCCAATTATCCTATATTTGTTTTAACATTTTGGTTTAGGATTATTAATCCAATGGATAATTAATCCAACAAATTTGTAGGATTATTAGTAATGAGGTAGGAGTGGGATTATTAATCCAATTGGATAGTGAATGACACACTAATTTAATAGGATTATTAATACTTCACTATTAATTTTGTAAATCAAACATGACCTTTAGGTCTTATCTGTCACCTTCTCAGTGGTTGGGTTGATCAATTGTAGGTAGGGGTATACATCAAAGTGGTTAAACCAGTACATGCAAATTTTTTAGATTTTACTTGTGGGTAATTGGCCTTTCAAATGAAATTCATGGGTCTAACCTTGGTGCCGATCGGATATTTTGATTCATTCAAATTGATTCAATTGAATTGAATTGATTTGATTTGTGGTATTTTGAACAGATATATGGTGATGAGTAAATGATTATAAATTGATTTTTTTTTAATTTATCTATTTTTAGATAGATGGTAGATTTAAAATTTTTTTATGCCCAGCCGAGTCACTAAATTGTGAGTATAAAATTTTATTTTTTTAATTTATTTAGATATTTTATTTGTGTTTTTAATTGAAAAAAATTTAGATATTTTGTTGTATTTTCAATTTGAAATTCTTTTATCAAATGATAAGTGTTGATATTTGATATTTTTGTGTAAAAAATATAAGACTTAATTTTGTCATTTAAAAAAAAAATCAAATTAAATAGTTTTTGAATGAAAAAAATAATGAAATAGTTTTGATAATGCATAGTTTTTTTGTATGCATTTATTATTAGTATTTGATAATTTACTTGATAATCTTTTGATTATGCTGAGTTTGATTGTTATCCAAAAAAAAAAATTTGTTGACAAATTGTTTATTATGTTCAAAATTTGTAAAAGTTCAAACTATCAAACCGATTTGCATCCATGCATTAATAACAATCCGCATCCGTCAATTCGACGGACAGATGCAGATTGATTTTTTCCAATCTACTAATCTAAATGCCGGATGGTGGATTGAAAGTTCTCTTGCCCAACCGAATCACAAACAAACCCGGTCTAATTTTTTTATTTTATTTTTTTTAAAAAAATTCAATATGTCTGGTTTCAATTTCTAGAAATTTAATTTTTTATTTTTCATATATATATATTATAGGAAAAATTTTTAAAATTTTAAGATTTTTTTTACTTTTTTAATTGTACCTTATTTAGATGTATCAAAAAAATAAAATATTTATAAAATAATATTTTTAAAAATCAATAAATACATAAGATTAAGAAAAATGTACTAAATTCTTTTTTCTTTTATGTACTAAATTCTTTTTCTTTTTTTTTGTATTTTTGGTATTTAGTGAATTTTCTCTAAAAAAAAATTTACAAATATACTTTTAAAGTGTATTTATGTTAGGTGTATCTAAGTTTTTTTTAAAAAAATGCTTAAAATATTAAAAAAGTTCAATAAAAACAAAACAAAAAAAAAACAAAAAACAAAAAAATTAATTTTTTGAAAAGTAAATCCTAAAAATTCAAACCAAATAAGCTGATTGATATTTAAAAAAGCTTTTTGAGTCTTTTTAAAATTTTATATTTTTATAAAACTTATTATATTACTTTTATAATAAAATGGTTGAACTCTAATCTAACTCGGGAGTTGTTTGGAGTTTTTTATGTAGTGTATTTTTTTTTATTTTTTCTGAAAGATACGTGTAAAAACAGAGAAATGATATGACTTACGTATTGATAAAAAAAATATGACTTAAATAAATACACTTATCAAATAAGTATACTTGATAAGGACAATGGCCCTGTTTGGTAGAGCTGTGGGAAAGTACTTATAGCTTATGCCTCAGCAGCTTATAGCTTATAACTTTCAGCTTAAGCTGATTTTCAACTTATTCTTAAAGCATCTCCTGGCCCACTCAAAGAATAAGCTGATTTCTGATTTCCAAAAAGCTATAAGTTATAAGCTATAAGCTAAGCTAAACTAAACACATCAAAATAGCTTAAATTAAGCTGAAAGCTGAAATAAACTGTAATTAAGTTCTGCCAAACAGGCACAATGTCCCACATCCCCTGTGAGGGACTCTCACTTCCACCTTATAAGTGTATTGGCTCCCTCCACTTGTTACGAGACCTTGATCCCAGAGGAAAAACAAAGCTGTGAAGGCCGACCCCAAAGGGCTGTCCAAAGTGAACAATATCGTGGCAAGACGCGAGAGGACAGATGCTGCGAATTTGACACTTAATTAGATTATCCCTGAACAATCCCTAATTATTTTGCACAGTTGAAATTCTAGAAAAAATATTTTTTTATAAGAATTACTTATTTAGTTAAACAAAACAATTTTTTATTTTTATTTTTTAATCAAAAAGCAGTTTATTTGGATGTAATTAATCCTGATTATAATTGGGTTATTATATTATCACAACTATTGTCCAAAATGTTGATTTCATATTAGCATCTATATTCTCATTTTCATTTGCCTTCCCATACCAAGCAGCACAAATAACGGTACCTTTTTTATGATGAAAAAAAGGGAAATAAGTCATATTTGTGTCCCCATATGGCATATACAATAATACAACAACCAACTTCCAAGTGTCTGAATTTTCATTTCATTATCTTAATTGTTGAGATCATGAGTTTGAGTTCCTTAGTAACGTGTTATAATCAAATATACGTCATCTCTTCTTCATTTGTATATTTTTGTTATTTGGAATGATTTTCCTCCATTATATAATTAAATATGTATTTTCTTCGGTTCGTAAAACTTTTCGCTTACCTAACATTGTACATTTGCACCAATAATAAATAGTAAGGGGATTTGGTGATAGCATCCTCACTATTTAATTTGTCTTTCAAAAGGACAAGAATTATATAAGTACTTTCAAAACCCCCTAATGTTTTAAAACTTATTTTTTTTTACTATATTACCCTCATATCTATCAGCTCTCCTATTAAGCCATCTTCACTATATATTTCAGAGTAAAATTTTACTCTGTATAAAAGTAAAATTTTACATTCTGAAACTAAAAGTAAAATTTTACTCTGTATAAAAGTAAAATTTTACTCTGAATAAGAGTAAAATGTTACACTCTGAAACTAAAAATAAAATTTTACTCTGAAAAACTAGTAAAATGTTAGACTCTACACAAAAGTAAAATTTTACTCTGCATAAAAGTAAAATTTTACTCTGATTCTGTCAAATAAAAAAAACAGAGCAATAGAACCAGAGTAAAATTTTACTTTGGTTCTGTCAAATGAAATTAGATAAAAAAACAACAAAAATAAATCAAAAACAAAACAAATTAATCAACAAATCAACATCTCTAATTGGAAAAAAAAAAAACTTCAAAAAACACAAACAACAAAAACAAAACAAATTAATTAACAAATCCACATATCTAATTGAAACGAAAAACTTCTAAAACTCGATCAACAATCACACATCTCAATGAAAAAGAATACATGTGTTCAACAGCACTCATACACACAAATATATATATACATATATTCTACTGTTCCTCATTCACATCCTTCCCAACCTCCTATTCAACTTCTTTCAATCTCGAAGCTTCAGCCTTCGCATTCAACATCGCCAGCATCTCATTAACAACCTCATTATGTTTCTTCTCCGCTTCCAATTGAGCCATCTCCACCGCACTCCGAATCTCCATCTGCTCTGAAACCCTAACTTTCGAATCTCCAACGACATCCTCATTCAATTTCAACATACTCAAAGCCTCATCGTTGCTGATTATGAAGATGAAGAGAGGACCTTCTGCTGAAGCTTGGAAGACGCTACTATGGCGGCGGCTTGTCGACGACCTTCTGCTGAAACTTGAAAGATGCAACTATGGTGATTATGATACAGTTGATGACGAAACTGATTATATATGCAGAAGTTGAGGGTATAATAGTCCTATAAAATATTTAAATAATAAATTTTGTCCTTTATGCAAGATTTTATAATTATGAGGGGGTTTAGAAAGTATAATTTTTTTCTTAATCCTTTTAACAATGAAAGGAAGGTAAAAGGGGCTTATAACTAAATTTCCCATTTTTTAAGGGTGCTGAACTTCTATAATTTAATGTCGTCATCTTGTTTCCATGAAGCCATAATGTCGGAGAGGGCAATATTTTTGCTCGATTGCAAAGAAAAAAGGAAGTGAGGCTTGATTGCAAAGAATGCAAGCAAACCTGGACTTCCCTACCCCGCGATGGGTTAACTTAACTAGAGTACCATTAGAAACTATAGAGTAACTCTGGGCACATGCTTTTGTGTGACCATTGAACTTGTTCAGGTTACTACCGCAATGGCACTGCAGGATGCTGGGTAACATGAACAGTAGGAAGGTGTTCTTTCCTTCAAAAAACCCTAGAATGCATTTGGAAGAAAACTCTTGAGTTCACTAGCAGGCATCCTAGTGTGTTCTCTACCGTGAAGTAGGCATCATCCTAGTGTGTTCTCTACCGTTAAGTAGGCATCATCCTAGCACATTCAGGATGCTCAAATGCTCTCAAGTCCTTTTAAGAGGCCCCTTTTTATACGATATAATGCATGTGCAAAGTAAGGTTTATCTGCCACTAATTTGTCATGTTGTCCAAAAAAATTAATCCTGAATCGGCA